TTCTTGAAGGTTATGTTGTCGTATCGGTTCGGAAATACTGCTGCTGGAAGTTGATTCCAAAGAATGGTTGTGCGTGGAAGAAAGTGCCTTGAAAAACGCACGGTGGAAGACCGCCACTCGTCCAGATGATTGGGATGAAACTTTAGTTTGTGGCGGGTTGTACGGTGGTGAAAATCAGCAGCAGGTATCAATCCGAACAATTCCTCAGAACACTCCCCATGATAAATTCGGTAGAAGATGCACAGAGATGCAACATCTCTGCGCAGTTTCAGTGGGTCAAGTCGGACAGTAAGGCGTTGACTATCGATAATTCGAGCCGCCCGACTTTGAATGCGGTCTAACGGAAGGAGTTGGTACTGTGGCGCTCCTGCCCACAGGTGAGAACAGTATTCCATATGCGGCCTGACTTGGGCTTTATATAATTTCAGGCGGTGTTCTGGCATGAAATATCGTCTCACCCTATTGAGCACTCCTAACTTTTTGGAAGCTATCTTAGCCTTCTCCTCCAGATGACCGCAAAACTGGACGTCGCAAGATATATCAACGCCCAGAATTCCTAGACTCGACTTTTTATCAAGGGAAGTGCCCTGAAAGTGAGGAGATACGACAAACGGCGTCTTTTTTGCGGTAAATGCGCAGACTTGTTTCTTTTTGGGGTTAAATTGGACAAGATTTTGTTCACCCCAGATCGAAACTTGATGGAGTGAAGTTTCGATTTCAGACACAAGTCTATTCCGGTACTCATCGGTATGTGCCCGCGAGATCTTTGCATGACCGGTATATAATGTATCTCCTGTACTGTCGTCTGCATAGCAATGAATATTACTTATCTGTAACATATCATTGATATGCAGAAGAAACAGAGTCGGAGATAGTACACAGCCTTGCGGGACACCAGCATTCAAAGGTTTTAAATCAGAGCATGCTCCGTCGACTACGACCTTAATGCTACGTTCCTTGAGAAAACTGGCGACCCAAATGCACAGTCTCGCAGGCAACCCAAATGAAGGTAGCTTTGAAAGCAGCGCTCTATGCCACACCCGATCAAAGGCCTTCGCAATATCCAGACTAACTGCTAAGGCCTCTCCCTTACTCTCGATTGCCACTGCCCATCGGTGTGTTAAGTAAGCTAAAAGATCACCGGCCGAACGTCCCTGTCGAAAGCCGTACTGGCGATCACAGATCAGCTGGTGCTCTTCTAGGTACCGGAGCAGTTGACGGTTAATGATGGATTCCATAACCTTCGAGAATAAGGAAGTGATAGCTATGGGCCTATAGTTAGCTGGATCTGAGCGATCTCCCTTTTTAGGGATCGGATGCACCAGAGCAGTCTTCCAAAACTTTGGGACTATGCCCGATGAGTAGCTAAGCCGAAAAAGACGCGTAAGAACCGGAGCCAACTCTGGTGCGCACGTCCTAAGCACAATTGGAGGAATACCATCAGGCCCACTCGACTTATGGATTTCGAGGGAGAAAAGTGCTCTACGCACTGAGCTATGCGTGAATTTAATGTCAGGCATATAATACCTTAATGCTAATTTTCTAGATGGCGCCACCGAGTTATCTACTCGGTAGCATCATCTACGTAAAATAAGATAAAAAAAAGTACGAATATGTTTTTAAAGTTATATATAGTTCAAAAGACACCTGCCAATTGTTGTTTTGAGACTACTAGTCTTGTCGTATTAACTATAAATTATACATTAATTTATATTTTTTTCTTATGAAAGAGAGTAATTTCAATGAATGATACTATTAAGGGAAAAGTTTGTTTAGTATATATGTAAATAAATAAACAAATTTTGTGACTGGTGCCATGGACGACAATTATTTACTAGAGATCTGGCATAAAACTTTATTACTGTATGCACAATGACAAAATAGCTTGAAACCTAAATACTGGCAATTATCTAGGCTTCTTTGCAACGAGGTCCATATAATTTTACACACCTGATATTACTCATACTTGCAAGGATTGGAACATAAACTTTCGCTTATACTTGCAAGATCACGCTCCACGCCTAGAGCGAACATTTTGTTTGTGTGTTTGTAACAATTTATTGTATAGTAAAATCCTAAATTATAGGATAGAAAGTTCTTAAGAAAAGAGTGAATACAATGGCAGACTTAAACTTTAATATGTATTTCTTACAGTTAAGCTTTGAATTCAGACATTCAAAGAATTATGGACTAGTGGAAACAAAAATGGATTATTAACATTTTTCATGTTAATATTTATTACTACATGAAGAATAAGGAAAAAAGGAGTGGCGACCCCTTAAAGAAAAATATTGTCGCAACGCACCACACCGAGGCAGCGTACCCAATATACTGGCAGGATTACCTCTTTGGATTGCCAAACTTATATTTTGCGCAAAGTAGCTACCAGCTCTTGGGTCACCAGTAACCTCGATGAGGCGCTTTGCGATCGTCCGATAAAAATGCTTAGCATCTGGACCCCACGGGCCTATGGTGTCTACAGCAAATAACAGGAAATAACCCCTTCAGATGTGAGGATTTACGCCTCTTCATTGTTTCCGCTGTCACTGCCATCGTTACTGTTTAAACTATATATTTCTAATCTGTTAATAATTATAGTTGTCTATTATATACACCAAACATTGTTATGGCATTGAATGATAGTACAAGTTTCGCGAAGTTGGCTCCCGTCAACAAAGTTTCTTTAATTAATTTGTTTGCGAAGATTGTTATAGATAAATTGAAAGGGTGTATTAATTAAAAATTTGGGGAGCGTTAGTGCACTAATATTTAATCTGTTGTATCGTCCATTATAGTGCGTCAGGGGTATTTTTCTCTAGAAATCTGTCCGATTCTAGAATCAGGGCATACGGGTGTGCGACCCCGGCCTCACGAGCCGCTGCAGTGTCCCAATCTTTTCCTCAACTGCAGTGTCCCCCCCTTTCCTTTCCCACATAAGTCCCTAATTCCTCTCATTTACTAATTTCCAACGTTCTCTTGCTTTTTTCCTCAATCCTTTCCTCCAAACCGTAGGTGGCAGAAACCACCAACAAATACATGTCCAAAGAGGGTAAGACTGTAAGCCAAATCCTTCAGTAATATGGATAAAACCATATTACGCCGACCCCAAATAATAATTGGGATAAGGGTAGAAAGATGATGATGATGATGTACTGTCCATTACAGAGTGCATTGCCGTTATCCAAATAGTCTTTTTGCCACTAGCCGCTGTCGTACAAATTCTGGAAAACGCTTACCTTTGTATGAATTCATATATAACGCTTTTTTTAATAATAATAATAATAATAATATTTATTTAATTAGACTACAAGGCCCATTTTGTTAGTTACAAATTGACTTAACCTATGTTAGTAAATGAGCGGTGATAACGCTCTTACATTGATAACCTGTCCCAGCCAATATTTTAGGATGGGACAGTCCATTTTATCAGCAATTGTCTTCAGGACACTGTTTGAGCTAACACGCACCCTACCCAACAGCGAAACAATTCGTTTGCGTCGTATTGCGTAAAAATCATCTGTACGCTCCCGTGCAAACATGTGTGACGCACTACAGTGACTAGGTAGCCCCAACAGTGCCCTGAAGGCATTATTATATTGGACTCGAAGAGCATTGTAAGTTTTTTGACTATAGTTGACCCACAAGCTACTTGTGTAGAACACCTGACAAAAAGCTTTAAACAGGGTTATTTTTACTTGTTTTGTACATCTAGTAAACCTGCGGGACAACATGTTACTTCTAACTGCCAATGCTCTTCTTTCTCGTTCTATATCCAGGTCATCTTTTAAAGTATTTGCAATAATGTGACCGAGATATTTAAAATCAGTTACCACGTCAAGTATATTTCCATTAAGTGATATAGGAGGCACATACTTCGGTTTTTTATGTCCAGATACAAATGTCATAATTACACTTTTGTTAGAATTATATACCAGACCATGGTTTTTCGCGTATGCTTCACACACAGCTAGCATTTTTCTTAAAGCTCCAATTGAGGGGCTCAGCAGTACCATGTCGTCGGCATAGCTTATGTTATTGACGCTTACTCCATCAATATAACACCCAGCATGCATTCCGCTGAGCTCCTCAATTAGACCATTTACATACATATTAAACAAGTTGGGTGAAGTCAGCCCACCCTGCCTCACTCCGCATTTTAATCGGTATGAGTCTGATAGAGTATCATTCCACCTCACCTGATTACTTTGATTATTGTACCAATACTCAAGAACTCTAACTAACTCTGTAGGAAGCGTAGTATTATCAAGTTTACTCCATAAAAGATCATAAGATACCATATCAAAGGCTTTACTTAAATCCAAGAAACATGCATAGACTGGAGTGGATCTGTCTGTGTAGTATCTGACCGTATGCTTGAGACACAGAATAGCCGATTCAGTCGACACCCCCTGCCTGAAGCCAAATTGAAGGTCATGCAAGTTTAGATGTCGTCTAAGTTGCGTATCAAGTAAACCGTCAAACACCTTGGCTGTTATTGTAGCCAGTGATATAGGCCTGTAATTACCGCTGTCCGATACATCTCCCGTCCTGTTCTTAAGTATTGGTACAACAATCGTTTTCAACATATCCTCTGGTAGGTATGTATGCCCAATACAAAACGTGTATAACATTGAGAGTACCCTGGGCAAATGGTCCCCAGCTGCCTGAAAATGCTCTATACTAAGGCCATCATGCCCAGGGGACTTTCCTCTTTTCATGTTCTTTATAATAAATTCAATATCTTTACATGTAAAATTATGCATTTGACCTACTATCTTTTTACTACAAGCATTTGTAGTCGACTGTAAGTTTTGTTGACCTAAAGGAGATGTTACTCTGAAATTATTTTTAAACATATTAGCTATTTGTTTAGGACAATTAATACCATTAATATTTACAGGAAAACTAGTTTTACCGTTTAGACTATTTGTCGCTCTCCAAAACCCACTAAAGTCACTTCTGGAGCGGCAAAGAGCAATTATATCCATTTTTATTTGGTCTTAGTTATTTTGACACCATTTTAGTTTACTTTTAAATCTCTTACGACTCTCATACATTTCTTTATACATAATACCCTCAGTTGGTTTACCATATAATTCCCATATCGAAAACTTAATTCTAGCCTCATTATGTGCCTCCCTTACATATTTATTCCAACCAGTTACACATCTTCGCCGCCCAACAGGCCTGTCGTGACTTCGAGCTGCAGCTTCTGCTAATGTATTTACTATATTACTGTATAATTGGTTTATTATGGTCTTATGAATAGGATCACTGCACTCTCTATCACAACAATTAGCAAGCTCAGATGGGAACTCAATTTCACTTAACTTTTATTACAATAATTATTATATAATTGTATCTGTTCATAGTCTCTAATTCCCCACAATATTTTATTACAATGTCTTCCATTTATTGCTATTTTTAATTGCAATATATTTATGTTACATTTTATTTGAATAGGGAAATGATCAGACCAATATATATCATAAAGTATATTTATCTCTGTAATAGACTTCCAAGAAGCTTGTGTTACTAAAATATGATCTAACCAACTTTTTGTCCCATGTGCATCGCTAATAAAAGTATAACTATCTGAATTCAAACCTAATTTCTCTATATCCGCACAAATCAGCTGTTGTTCTGTACAGAAATGTAAAAGCTCCTTACCGAATTGTCCATCTGGGTACGCATTGTAATCACCAAGAATAAATACAGTCTGCGAGTCATTATTCTCAACAATTGCACAGATCTCGCCTAAGCAGTGAGTGAATTCTGTTAAATTTTCACTATCGTCTGTGGGCATGTAAACACTCATAATAACCATTTGTTTATCACTAGTCTCTGCATCAATTGCTATTATTCGCGAACTTTCACATTTAATCACCGACACTGACCTAAAAACACTTTTCCGCCACAATATTGCGACACCACCAAACGGTCTACCGTGAAGAATGCCTACTGATGTGTCCACAGCAGACTTTCCAGAATATCCAAAATCATCATGAATGCTACCTAAAATATGTATATCATGAGGTAGAAGCCAAGTTTCCTGCAATGCGACTATATCCGCCCGTTCACATAAAGATTTTATGCATTCTACCGATCTTTTCATTGATTTACAATTGAAGGATATCAAAGTTAGTGTTCTATTATGCATTGTTATTTTGTATTTAAAAACTTGTCATCATTACCAGATGTCTTTTTAAAAGTAACAAATCGACGAAACTTAATTCCATCAGGCCATAGACCCGCATCCATAAATATAGATAATTTACTTTGCGGTACAAATATTTTATACGCATCATATTCCTTCTGAAATTTCATGCAAATTTTTTCTAGCGCTACAGACACCTTAGTTTTTTGCAAAATGTATGAAGATATGTCCTCTATGGAAGTGTTTTTATCAACTTTATTTATAAAAAGCGGTATCTTTACATCTGCTGCTCGAAATTTTTCCTCCGATTCTGTACTTGCTTGTCCTCTTTTCCCCATAAATCTATTTCTGAGTTTCTTTCTTTGTACAACTATCCAATCTTCTGACTTTTTTCCATTTTTCCATTTTCCGCCAGATGCAATATAAGCAAATGATTTTTCCACTACTAATGGATGGGAGACTGTGTTGTGACTATTGGCTATGTTCACACCGGCCGCACTCACTTGCGTGTCCGCTGCTATGTTTTGTTTGCATCGATGTACTGTATCTTCTACCTTCGCACTTACGTTTTCTAATGTACTATTTATCAAACAATTAGATTGCGTTTTCGATTGAATATTTATGTTGCACTCGCTATTTATATTTCCATTTTTCTCTTCCTGAGAAATATGAAGCAATCCAATGGGTCCACTGTCGTAATGAAAATTATCAATAACATTTGCACACCCTCTCTTCGTGTTTATATATTGTGAGGGTTCAAAGTTATTCACAATTGAGGCTGATTTTAAATTTGCCAACTCATTCTTTATCAACTGTAATTCTTCCGTTGTAGCGCAGGTTTCCTTTACAGTTCGAACCTCCTGTTGCAACACGAGTATATCTTTTAATAATTTAGTTACATCTACGTGATCAAAACTTATGGGGGGTAGTTTCTGTAAGTTTCTTGCGACAAAAATCGGAATTTTTTCGGGATCTATTCCTTTCAATAGTGATAAAATATCTTCTATATCCCGCTTCTCTTTACCGTCCTTTTTCCGCATAATCTTTCGTATCTTCGTATTGACAGAGTCAAATAACAAAGTCTTCGCTTCCCTGATCTCTTCACTCGAAAATGAAGTCGTAACAATACGAATGAGACTTTCCTCGTCCATAACATCACATTTATTTTGGACAAAAGATAATAGTTCACTAATTACAATATTACAATTATTGCATTTCAATATATTTGATGCCATTATGCTAAGCGATTTATAGACAGCGCTTTTGCACATCCGTACTCAATGAAACGTACGCAACGACTGATGATGTTGATATTATTAATGAAAGCCCAAGTACTTTTAAAAATCTAATCTCTAAAAGATTGATATAATTTTTAACTGTTCTTGTTTGCTTAAGCTATTTGTATTGTATTTCAATTGAAACTGTGATAAGCGGTGTTGGGGGCAAATTTATTCAATGTTTTCTTTGATGCATATTTTGTATTATTCTTTATTTTGTCACTGTTAGGTTATTGGGTAATAAATAAAGAAAAAAAATATCTCTCTCGGGTCAACTTTCTCGTGTAAGTCTCATTGTACTTAGTAATCTTTATCAATCCCATATGAAGACTTACCGGCAGAAGATTTTTTTAATAAATGATAATGAAATGATAACTCTGCCTTTGCTATCGATACATACTAGCGGGGCACGTAAGTAAGTGGGATATGTTAATTAACTGGGACATTTAACTATTAGCGTTCTACTAGATATATGTCTGTAACCAACTCCGCCTTAAATGATAAATGTTTACCATTACATCATCAATTATCAAATCATTATATATTAAGACATTTGATGCTCAACTAATCGCAAAAAAGATAGAGAGCTAAGACTTAACCAACTCGCTTTTGCATCATCATCATCATATCAGCCGTTAACTGTTCACTGCTGAATATAGTGCTCCCCCATAAAAAGGGTTGTGCCAGTAGTTGTCATGTTGACGAAACCGCAGTTAGGTTTTGGCGAAGTTTAAAGACGAATGCTGCTACCATTCAGTTCTCTTAGTCGCTTCTTACGACACCCATGGAAAAGGGATTGCCCATTCTATGCCGCGAGCATACGGCGCTTTTATATATAAAAATAAGTATAAGTCAAAATTATATTGTATCAAAAATTAAAAGACGTAAAATATCATATCTAGCCGTACCGCCAAATTACATTCTGTAGAGTGGAAATCATAAAACTGTACGCATTGGACATAGTTGCAATAGCATCCTTGGCAATAAAGCGGCGTGGCTAACATTTCATTTTTCTCTTATTGACGTTGAAAATGGGTTTATATGGCTTGATACAATGTTGTTTTATCGTTCTACATTAGTACACGCAATCTTGTGATTAGTACAGCAATTTCTTAGGCTATAACCAGCGTAGAACAGGAAAATCAATACGGCCAATTTCGTGTCATATAGTTAGTTTGTTGGCCAATCTCGTTTTTAGTGATCTAGATTGTGGTCATTGACCATATTAATCCAATTAGTTATAATTAGCTGAAAGTTGAGATTTCCTGTCGGAATTAGAATTAGTACAAACTCGAAATGCTTTGAACAATCAAGGATATGAATCGACTATAAACGAAATTTTATTATAACTTTAAGTCGATGTTTTTCGCATGAATACGAATAAAAATAGCTCCTTGTATTAATGTAGAATGCATATAGTATCATAGTATATCTATATAAACTTCTTATATTATTCATAATTCGGTAATAAATAAACGTAAATCATAATAAGTATTAATCACATAACTTTCTCGTGCCGCATCAACGTCTTCGCTAGTGCATCACTAGAATCCGAATGATTTTGTTAATCGAATAATTAGTTTCATAATTCGACTACTAAATTAGTAATACACTAGTTTTCATTTTCGATTGATTCTACTAATTAGTAATAATACCTATATCCCTAATAATGGAAACAAAGTCCTTCCCCTGTCTCCAATACTTTAACAAAAGGTGATAGTGGATGGACGACGGAAAATTACTACTTAATTAACTGATGAGTATCGAAATACTACTAGTATAGTAAAGTGTCAAATTTTTACTAAATATAAGTACTAAAAAAAGTACTATACTAGCAACACTACTGACAATTAGCAAAAAAAAGGACATTCCACCGATCGGATTGACTCGGCTACGTTCGTGCCAACTCGTACATGAACTACTAATAAATGATTTTAGTTATTAGTACAAGCGTATACTGAATGAAATTAGTAGTCGAATGATTTGAAAATCATTCGAATAATTCAAATTATTTTCCTGGAATGCCCTTTCTTGTTAATGTTGCCAGTTTAGTATATTTGGTAAAAATTTGCAACTTTCGATACTTATCAAGCAATTAAGTAGTAAGTTTTTTTAGTAATCTATTCACTATCACCTACTCTTAAAATACTAAATACAGAGAAAAGACTTTGTTTTTATTATAAATAGTTTAAATCGATTTACTAATTAGTAAAATATTTTCATGTTGATTTACAAATTTAAATAAATTTCACGACAACATAATGACTAAAAGCAATTTGTTGAAATCCGAGAAACAAACAACAACACTAATCACTTTTCGTTCTGTTTGCTTCGACACCTATTTTACGTATAATGACATGATTTGCTTGTCCACACCACACTATTATCTTATGCGTTTACATAATAGGGAAGCGTTCACATTGACAAAATAATATTTATTTATTAAAGAACAGGCAACAAAGCATACATATATATCAACTTAAAATACATGGTTACATTATAAAATGCTGCCTTAATTAAAGGCCGCCGCGACACGCATATTTATATTATATTATACATAATTATAAGAATGAAAAATGATAAAAACTACAATACTAGGTATAAAATAAATAGATACAGTAATCTACTAGATTTGTATACTTATAACAATATATTTGGGATAATACATTTTTTTATACCACAGTGAAGAAACGAGCACGCGGCTCACCTGATTTTTTTTTATGCAACTTAGAATGGCAAACAAGCTGACCCACCTGATGCAAAGTGGTAACCGTCGCCTATAGACATGAGCAGTATCATGGACATAACAGAGTATACTGTTTCGCCCATGATACCCCCATGCGTTGCCATTCCTGAGGACTCAGGTGTTATTCCTCTGTATTAAGTAAATTCACGCCATATCCCACCCTTCAAACCGAAACACAGCCATGCAAACACAACTGCTTCACGGTTGAAACACGAATGGGACAGAGGTACCTAAGCAATCGACTTTTGTACAAAATCTTTCTCTGGTAACTACCGCCGCTTGTGACCACCTGCAATACCAGAGGTATTGCAGTTGTACTGCTATGCTTTTAAAAAGGAAAATGCTAATTTCTTGAAGGTTACGATGTCATTTCTGTACGGAAATACTGCTGCTGGAAGTTAATTCCAAAACGTGGTTGTGCGTGAACGAAAGTGCCTTGAAAAATGCACAGTGGAAGACCGTTAATCGTCTAGATGATTGGTCTGGAACTTTAGTTTGTGCCGAGTTGTAAGTTGTGAAAATCAGCAGCTGGTATCAGATGGAACAATTCCTCAGAATATTTCCCATGGTATATTCGATAATATATGTTATGGTTTCGATAAACTGATTAATCAAAGAATTACATTTATAGGTTAAGACATATTTACATTTATAGGTAAGACCTACTTATGTAACGTACGTAGACGTACGTAAGACTTCGCTACAGATTTCTGTATGTAAGACTGTTGAATGAAGATCCGAGCTTTATTAAATAGCTTTACATCTTCAGAGACAGGATCAACAACGACAGGATCTTTACCTGTTAGTAAATCAAATTTAATTGCACATTACCAAATAACAGTTTTTAAAAAACAAGATTTCCAAAATAGATTCCTACGATGCTTCATCCACGGTGGTAAATCATTATATTCGTATATGTAAAAAAAAATTGTAAAAATAAAATAAAAAAAAAATAGTAAAGTAATTATTTTGTAAAATATAGTTACAATTATTTATAAAATGTAAATAGTAATGATACGTAATGATGATAAGATGGTAATACTCTGCCTGTACTAAGCATGCTATAGGTCATGAACCGCATTGACCTCGCCCGGCCGGATGATGGTACGATTTTTTGTTGATTTTCAATTATTTTTCTTTTTTATCTATAACGTTGAATTAAAAATATAATAACGTTGCCAAGATTATACTTTTCCAATTAAACGTGCTGTACAATTTTAGCCTTTATGGTTTTTTTTTTATGGGTGAAAATGGAATGGTAACCTGCGCTAACGGGATACGCTGGCGGAACACCAGTGAAGGGTGATTGATGAGAATGAAAACAGGCCAGTTAGCCCATCATGATGAATTCATCAGGAATTAACCATGATAGTTTCCAGGGGGAATCGCGATGAGGTCGACCTGGTTGGGTATATTGCCAGCAATGGAATTCTCAGTCTCCATTACTAACAATCCCTTTCCCCCCAGCCTTCATGGTTAAGAACTCATATATGTATGCCAATACTGTAGATAGCAAGATTAAATATAATAAAACGTTAATATGAATTATATAAACAGTAATTTTAGTCATTACAAAATAATAGTAACCTATTTATATTTTCAAACAAAGGAAGTCCACTTATAAACAATAAGATATTTCGTAGACACAACATATTAAAAATATTTTAATTCAGATCGGACATCAAGTGTCTATATTTATTTTTCTTCCATAAAAAGAAATTATCTTCTTTTCATTTAACAGTTTCCTCTTGTCGGTGCAACTAATTCATGCATCTTCTTCCAGCCAGCTCTATCCCAGGCCATATCCTTTACCTCCCTATACGACATGACACCTAGTGTTTCTTTTATCTGTGAAAAAGAAATTATAATTGTCTCAAAATTAATACAAAACTAGCACGAGAAAAAATCCTATTGATTGCCAAAAGTACTAATTAGAAATCATACAAAATTGGCCAAAACATGCTAAAAATATAATTGAATAGTGAATCTTTTACTTTTTACAGTTCCAATATATGGAATTGCCTTTATTTTGGCCATGTAAAGCTATAACCGTAGATCGGGATGATGGCGGAGTTCAATTAGTTTGCCAAGGAGATCCGTACACTCTTTCGTTTAACCAGGTCAAGGTAAACGATGGAAAGTTTCCTCCCATTGTTTGTTTCCTTCACACCATTAGTTACATGTCAACTCAAGTTAGTTGAAGATTTTGTGCAGATGTTCGAGGAGCGAAAACCGCTTGTAGGAAAGTAATTTAATGACTCATAATATGAAATA